TTTATACTTTTATTTATTTCTCCTGCTTAATACATTATTATTATTCCCCAATATATAGAGTCCTTAGTGCTGTCTGAGCTTGGTGGTTTCCTTGCAGACATTTCATTATCTGACTACTCCACATGAGTGAGCAAAGCAGCAAACTCAGAGAGCACCAAGGACTTCAACCTTGAGCTCCAGAGATTTCTCTTCTATTGATGCCTAGATCTATTTTTTTTCACCTGCCCGTAGAGGCCAATGTCAGTTGCTTTTTAATCTTGAAATGTTTCTCACGGTTTACTTTTATTTGAGTTTCTGATTGATGCCGTGTCCACCTGACAGATTTACATACCTTTGAATATTCGTGTCGCACTGGTTGGTCTCGAAATTTGGTGCAAAGAAGATTTGATTAATGTGACATCAGCATCAGGAGTTACTTTGGACTTATTTGGAAAATGGAGAGAGACAGTCTTGCTGAATCGCACAAGTCATGATAATGCTCAGTTACTCTCGTACGTCTCATTGTGGGGAAAGGGAGTGGGGGTGGCCAGAGTGGAGGGTTATGGGAAGGTTACTGCTTGCATAGAGCTTCTGCTCTATGCTTTGAACCATGGGTGAACTATGTTTCTGGGTCAACGTCAACCACTTATTTTGTAGATGACAGCTGATTTTGAGAAGGCCTTGAATGATTGCAGGTGAAAAACTCAGCTTGATTTAATTTCACCTGGATTTAAAATTGAAACTTATATGATTATCCTGCTATACTTTTGCTGTACTTACACATGCATTTTTAATTCAATTAAATAATGTTTTGGTTCCCATTCTGCACCAAGTAAATGAACACTTGCATTAAACAGAACCACATGGAGTGCTATTACCTTCCCCAAAATGGTACCTATTTATCTACTTATGTTTCCATGCTTTTGAGCTGCTAGGCTGGCAGGAGCTGGAGCAAGTAACAGGAACTCACTGCATCAGGCAGAATGTAGGTCTCAAACTGACCACTTTCTAGTCAACAAGCCCACTGTCTTAACTGCTCAATTCCACACCCCATCAGCCTATATATTGTCATACAATTTCATGAGTGGGAAACTGACATGTTTATTGTCTTACATCTATAAGATATTGCACAAATAACAATTGGGTTGTGAGCAATCTTACAGGATTGCATAACAAGTAGGTCTTATGAAATAGGGGCTAGATGGAGGACAGATCTAAATGGCAAGTGAGAATATTAAAAAATACCCAAAAATAAATCCATTTTATTTTTCCCACAGATGGTGATTTGACTTTCCACCCAATCACCTTTCCTAAAACCATCTCGTCTTCAATAACCCCATAGCTAAATTGATAGACAAAATCTATTAAATAAATATGTATTTGGGGTTTGCATAGTTAATGGAATTAAATTAACCTAAATGGCCTTAGAAAACATGCTAACCCTTCTCCCCAACCTAATTCATGCTAACACCAGCCAACCTGAATATTTTTAACAGACCTGCTTAGTTAAACGGCTTCTGAGACTAGAGCCTAAAACGAATTCTAACATTCTGAAAACTGGTAGTAACTGAGGACGGGTCGAGGGGTTTGCAGAAAGCCATATATATCCTAAGACTACATAACATTCTTCTATCTTCTATCAATTTTATCCCCCTCCCCATCTTTCTTACAGAGCAATTGACTTCAATGGACGAACTATAGGAAGGGCTCACGTGAGCAGCATGTGTGACCCGAAGCGTTCTACCGGAATTGTTCAGGTTAGTAGAACGGATGGATACCTGTTATCTATTTGCACTCAAGTAAAAACTTATATAAAGGCAAAACGTCTTTACAAATAAAGTCTCTTGTTATTTTTGATCCATGTCATTTTCATCCATATTTATTTGTGGATTTGACATCTCCAGGTCCTGCCTCAACTGATGGCATTTTGGCACAATGCATTCTAGATAGGTTGTAGAACGAGCTTTTTGTATGCAATGAATTATATATCAGAAGAAGACAATATATTATAATGTTTGTGGATCAAGAGGAGTCAAATTGTGCTCTGATTGGCAAATGAGCAGGTCAAATCATGTTACAATACTTCCAGATAATGCTTCTGAACAATATTCTTAGCAATTCCAAGAGATTTAGTATCTAGATTACATATGACTGAATTATAGTACATTGAAAAAAATGAAAGAATACTTAATCCACTTAAAAAGAAAAAAAAACTACAGTATTTTAAGATCCTGCAAGAGAACCATATTAGTTAAGGTGATACTATACATTTATTGGGAAATAGTAAACTTAGTTTTTTGTTCATTTAGAAAGAATGGAGAGACATGGCAATAAACAAAACATATAAAACAAAACTCATAAACCTTTGTTTCTTAAAAGGCAGAGTTGGGATCCTTTTTAAGAAGAGACTGGACAGCCATTTGTCCGAAATGGTATAGGGTTTCCTGCCTGAGCAGGGGGTTGGACTAGATGACCTTCAAGGTCCCTTCCGACTTTACTATTATTATTATTATTATTATTATTATTATTATTATTATTATTATTATTATTATTATTATTATTATTATTATTATACGACATATTCATAAGCCTCTTTGCTCAAGAGGGTGATTTTATTCAGAAAGACCAACTCATTTTTAAGTCAGTTTAGGATTGCTACCTTCAATATTCTGAAAATGCTAGCTTCTAGCAAAAGAAACGGAGTACTGTTTGGATTGAAGTTGCCTGTAAGTTTTAGTAAGTAAATAAATGCACACAGCAAATGGTCGCATAAGTTTCGATCTTCTCCAGTGCTGTAGCTTCCGGGCTTTAAAGTTTCCTTCTGGATGTATTTGTGTATGTTCTGGAGTCTTGGTGGGCACACATATATTCAGAAGAGCTAGAATGGTATCGTCAACTTAAAATTGGTCACTTAGTTACCAGTTTTAGCCAGTTAGGGCTAAAAATATTTGGATTCACTTTCAGTTTCTTGGTGGACTAACAATAAACAAAGTATTATCGTTTCTTCAGGATCATAGCGCAATAAATCTTTTGGTTGCAGTTACAATGGCCCATGAAATAGGTCATAATCTGGGCATTCATCATGACATAAAATACTGTACTTGTGGTGCTCCCTCATGCGTTATGGCTGACCAGCTAAGGTAAGGATTGAGGAAAACTTTTAATGCCTTTCCAATCAAGTTATTTTTAAATGGTTGCAATTAATTGTTAAATTAAATATACTGAGAATTTACAAAAATAAAATGGCCAGGGAGTTACAAAAAAGGAGGGTTTTGGTCATTTGTGTGTCTCTTTACCATGTGTAGTTAAAATGTGTTGGATTTAAAAAGGTAGAAATGTTCTCAACAATTGAATAGCCATCCTTCAGTAGCTTCCTCCAAAACACCAGAGTTTAAAGAAACAGCGTAGGAAGCATAGCCAAAGAAACCAAATATTAATATCTGTGATGGGTAAAAGAGGAGACCAAGTTAGACGTTAAAGACTTTCCTAAAGTGGGAAGGAGAATGGGGAAAAATACATTCTGAACCAGGCAACATCAGGAAGAAAAAGATAAATTAGCATCCTTGGGGTTTTCCTGCCTCGCCCTTTCATCAAGGTAGAATATGTTACATGTCTCTCATATATTGCAGTCTTCTGGAATCAGCAGGTAGCAACGTACAGGAAGTCATTGACTTACAACCATTTGTTTAGCAACCGTTCAAAGTTACAATGGCCCTGAGAACAGTGACTTACAACCAGTCCTTGCAATTATGGCCATCGCAGCCTCCCTTCAGTCACAGACTTATGACCGGTCTTCGTTTGGGACTTTCACAGCTGTCTTCCCATATGCAAAGCCAATGGAGCAAGCTCAATCCCTTAATGACTGTGTGGTTCACTTAACAAAGTGGCAAAACTGGTTGTAAAACCGAGCATGACTCACTTAACAACTGGCTTGCTGGGCAATAGAAATACTGGTCCCAGTTGTGACAGCAAGTCATGGACTACCAATATTTTCTTCCGGGCGCAAGTTTAGCCCTTACTTCATCAAGAAGGAAAAAGGAAGCAAAATCTTCTCAGCAATTGTCAGTTGCAAAACTCCCCATAACTTTTGTGTAAGAGTTTTGTATAGGCTCAGTGAGCATCCCAGCTATTGATCAATTTCTGGTTTCTTCGGCTAAAGCCCTAGGACTTCATTGCCTCCCATTTCATGCAAGGGCAAGGAGGGCAGGAAATATGGAGAACGCTATGTAGCCTTTCCTGTCCTTCCTGAAGGATTTCTGGGCATCATGATTACTCTTTAATACTTCTAGACACTTTGTGGTGTTTTGTACAGAAGACTTTGCTTAGAAAACAATTTTGCTCAATTAACCCTATAGAAGGGGTCTGGTGCAACTTTGACCTTGGAAGAAGACCATCTTGTCTATTTAATGGCCACCAGCAGATTCTCTTTGCGTTCTTGTTTCCACCCCCTAACTTGAGGGCCAATGATTATATTCCTAATGATTTGAATTAACATTAGGAAGGTGCTTTGCTGGGCTTAGGATGCCATCTTTGCATCTGTTTAAGTATGCAGCTTCAGAGGTCAGTGGCATGTTGCTGATATTATCACCTTTTCAACAAAAGAAATCAACAACAAATACTTTAAGGCAAATAGAGAGGTACACATTTAGCTCTTTATTCATTGTTCTTCTCCAAAAGAAGAAAAGAAAAACTGGATCAAAATTGAAGTTTTTCCTTCAATTATATTATTGCCCTTCCACAGAGAGGCTGACTAAAAATGAAAATAAAAGGCAGCCCACTCAAACACAAGACGCAGCTCAATCAACTAATATCACATGGAGTTCTCATTTCAAATGTATTTTGTTAAAAAAAAAAGGAAAATTAGTGGAATTAAAACTGAGGGAGCATAATCTGGGACTAAGATCAAGGGCTACAAAACATTCTCTTATCTATTTTGTTAGCTTTAGAGAAAAAAAACCTCTTCATTTCTTCATTAGCCATTCCTTTTCCATCTTATATGTTTTTGCAATGAATTATGTTCCTAGTCCAAATATGGATGATGTCATGGTCTTATTTTGGTTCATCTCTACAGAGAACAACTTTTCTATGAGTTCAGCAATTGTAGTCTTAATCAATATCAGACGTATATTACCAATTATAACCCACAATGCATTCTCAATGAACCCTTGAGAACAGATATTGTTTCACCTCCAGTTTGTGGAAATGACCTTTTGGAGGTGGGAGAAGAATGTGACTGTGGCTCTCCTAGAGTAAGTTCTTTTTTTTTTTTTTATCTACAAGAATGATTTGAAGATTTTTTTCAAAAATGGGTTTCCTTAAAAAATGATTTGGCTTTCTAAGTAATAAGTGGTTTGAGCCATCCAAGAGGTTGGTTTGTGAATGGCATAGGTTTGTGTCCTTCATATACATGCATGTATGAAGGGGTTTCTTGGATTTGGTTAACCAGTTGTAGAGGAATGTAGAGGAATGGAGAACTTGTACCATTTGGGGAAATAAATCCTTCCCTCCTGAAAACTCCTATTTTGTTGACATGGCCACATTTACTGTCCCACTATTTTCTTGAGCTGCTTTCTCCTATAACTGATGATCTTTAATCTTTGCTCTGATCCTAATAATATTTTTATAAGAACAGTAATTTAGTGTTCTTTTTATATTGTTAAATACACCTGTAATGGTCTGTGAGAATGTCCTTGAGAGACAAAAGAATGAGGAAACGTCTACTCAATGGTCATGTAAGACGTAGAATAGCTTGCAGAAGCAATGGGGTATGGCAAACATCTCTTGGTCCATAAAAATGAGGTGGTAGAAATAAACCTTCGGTATTGAAAGATTCTGCTACTGTCATCTTACAATCAAGGTAGTGTTAATACTCATGGTTGGTGCTTCTAATCTGGACTACCTCAAAGGCTGGCATGATGAGTAGAAAATCCCTCATGAATAAGAAAGGAATGGGCCTGTATGTTATGTGGGCTTCACAATTAGGAGATGAGGATATTTTTGTTTTATTTTTGTCACATAGGAAATATCAGATAAGGCTCTTTCACAGAAAGATGCCATTATCCGTATACAATAGCAAACAATGTGTGCATTTGCTAGCATGAACCCATAAGAGGGAACACATTGCAGAAATGTTTTTTTCCTTGGCAGTTTCCCTCTTCAAAATAGACCAATAAAAAAAGACCAAGCAGAAAATTCTGACATCATTTGATATGTTTTGGTTTTCAGACTTGTCGATATCCGTGCTGTGATGCTGCAACGTGTAAACTACACTCGTGGGTAGAGTGTGAATCTGGAGAGTGTTGTGAGCAATGCAGAGTAAGACTTGTTTATTTTTAACACCAGGAGAGATTTTACCCTGCTCCATACTAGCCATATAGAAATGTAATATCTCTTGGCTGTTTACTATGATCAAAACATTTCAACCCTATTTCTATCGTTTCTTCCAGTTTATTTAACCCTTATGAACATATCCATAGGTAGGGTAATTTAATAAAATTTCAGTCTTATCTCAATCTCAAATGCACTCTTTCAGCATGTTAAATCATATCTGTGAAAATAATATATTTGTTCTTTGACTGAGATTGCATGGAAATTAAGTTTAAACAAGGATAGGCAATGTTTGAGATTGGTGCCCCAATTCAGTTTCCTGACTTTCTGTAAGGCTCTAAGAGGTCTCCAGTAATGCTGTGACATTTTTCTCTCTGAGCCTTTTAGGATGGAAATAGATGCAGGAGACTTCTGGAAGTAAAGTTGCCCTTTTCCCCCTTAAGTTCTCTACCTGCTCTCTAAAGCTCCAAATTCAGGTGTTTTTGTGGAGCATTCTGGAGGTGCTGCAGGACCAATGAAAGAGAGGTGCTAGTTCCTCATTCCTCTTTTTATGTGGGATCCTAGTTGACTCTGTAATGAACTTTTTGAGCAGAGTGGCCCAAAACATTTTGTTATTTCCATATTTCCATCACAAGCCTAGATTCACAAGCAAGAGAAGGGAGCCACATGTTTTTCAGCACGTGACAGAAAATTATATGAATGCTTCTTCCCATGTAAAAAATAAAAATATATCATGAGAAATTCAGCAATTCACTTTTTGCTGCTTTTTTATGGCAGCCCAACTGATTTTCCCTTTATGGTCAACCAACAGGTAGAACCTGTGTTTCAGGAATTGAGCCTTTCATTGCAATCATTTCCCCATAGCAAATAAGACAGACTGGGACTTCTAGGCACCACACACAGTTGTAGCAGGGCAGGGATGCCTTGCTTGGTGATCCTCAAGACAGATGAAGAGGAGGATTTGAAATGTGTTGTGAACCATGCTTTGACTCTTTGATCTCTGCTGCTGAAGAGTGATAGCTGGGAGTATTTTTGATTCTCACCCACAGTTTACGAGTGCAGGAAATGTATGCCGGCCAGCAAGGAGTGAGTGTGACATTGCTGAAAGCTGCACTGGCCAATCTGCTGACTGTCCCACAGATCACTACCATAGGAATGGACAACCATGCCTAAACAACTTTGGTTACTGCTACAATGGGAATTGCCCCATCATGTATCACCAATGTTATGCTCTCTGGGGGCCAGGTAAGTCAACCTTAGGATTTCAGAATTGTGGTGTTATAAAATATTAAGACAGTCATTGCCATTAATGAAATATATTTTCTCCTTTGTATCCATAATAAATCATCATTACATTTCTGTTCTGTAACAGAGTTGGAAGGAGCCTTGAAGGTCTTCTAGTCCACCTCCCTGCTCAAGCAGGAAGCCTTATACCATTTCCAATCTCTTCTTTAAAAAATATCCACAATTTCTGAAGGTCTTTTCCAGAAGGAATAGTTTTTCAAGATGAAGTTCTTTCTTTGGAGGATTTAGAGCCCAGCCCTCCAGATCTTTGGGTTTAAAGCTCCAGTCAGCCCTAGAGAACTCGGCCAACGGTCAAAGATAATGGCAGTTGTAGACCAGAAATCTGGAAAGACAGACTTTGGGGGAAGGATGCTTTTGTGAGTTGTGGATACATTCCCAAATTGGACAAAGATCTGAGACAATCTCAATGCAAGATAATGTAATTTGATTATGGGACTGTATGCTAAGAATATTCAAACCCTGAGATTGAAACTTTCTTTGCATTTGGCATAATAATTGAAGAGACAGATGTTGGGGATGTGGTTCTTGTCACTGATCACTCCTACCTTTCAGACTATTCACAAAATTTTCAGAATGGTTTTATGTTGAAAAAGGAAACTGAAAATAAGTTCCCTTTTTCATATAAAGAAGACAGTTTTCAGTAATCAGGGAGATTTATCTTGGCCATAGATCAGTGGTGCAGTGAGGCTTTGCATATAGAAAGCCCAAACACAGATTTCAGGTCACTAATTAAAAGAGTCAGAANCTGAGTTGAAGGAGTCTTGGAGGTCTTCTAGCCCAACCCCCTGCTCTAGCAGGAAACTGTATACCATTTCCAATCTCTTATTTAAGAGATTGTAGCACCCACAACTTCTGAAGGCAATCCATTCCACTGATTAATTGTTCCGTAAGGAAAATTCCCCTTATTTCTAGGTTGTTTCACTCCTTCATTAGCTTCCATTCATTTGTCTTGTTCTCCCTTCAGGGTTTGGAAAATAGCTTGACCCTCTCATCTTTGTGGCAGTTCCTCAGATATTGGAACACTGCTATCATGTCACTTCTAGTCCTTCTTTTTATTAAATTAGACATATCCAATTTGTGCCAGTTCTTCATACGTTTTAGCCTCCAATCCCCTAATCATATTTGCTGCTTTTCTCTGAGTTCTTTCTAGAATCTTAACAACTTTTTTTATATACTGGCGAACAAAACTGGATGCAATATTCCAAGTGTGATCTTACCAAAGCATTATAAAGTGGTACTAACATGTCACATGATCTTGATTTTATCTCTCTCTCACATATAATATCGGGGCTGAATTGCCTCTTATTCATCTGGACTGCACCCCCTCCCACCTGGGGTTCCCCCTCCTCACTGCATTCCAGCACAGGAATGTATCTACAACAGTGTTAAACTTGGAAAATGGAGAATAAGCACACAGAGGAATGAAGTTGCACTCAGATTCCCCTTTGCCATTGAGTTACTGCATGGTCTTCTGCAACTTGCATAAAGTGGCTTCAACTTTTGTGTCCATAAAATGAAATAAGCAAGTTTAGTGTAGCACTGTATCATATAGAGAATGATTCAAGCATACTGAGGATTAGATAAATAATGGATTACAAAATAATAGATTAGAAATAAGCAAATATTAAGTAGCAAATAATAAGCAAATAATATCTCCTCTGAGATTACTTAAGCCAGTGGTTCCCAACCTTTTCTATACTCCTCACCCCTAGAATGCTTCTGATATATACTTGCACCCCTTACAAAAGTTCAAAGTAACGGCAACGAATTATGCATATACACTATAATTTTGAAAACCCAAGTTTTTGCACCCCCTGGAATATCGTCTTGCACCCCAGGGGGTGCGAACATTCCTGGTTGGGAACCCCTGTCTTAAGCCATTCTTTACCCTGCTGGCATGATACACACTCAGGTTCCTCACTCCGTCTTGCAGGTGCAACTGTGGGTCAAGATGCATGTTTTGATAGTAACGAGAGCGGCGACATTGTTTTCTACTGCAGAAAGGAAAATAATGTAAAGATTCCATGTGCACGAGAGTAAGTAATCTAAATTATTTCCTGCTATGATGATGATATAAAATAAGGATAATATAAGAAGTATTTTCATGTCCACATTTGTTGGAACATGATTCTATCACCTGGCTAAAACAACAGAAATGTGAGTCAATTTCTGAATGGCTAATTTTCCTTTGTTTTCCATCTTGGGTTACAAGGTGGAACAAAAGCTGGGTGTAAAATGAGTGCCATGAGGATAGAAGTGCCTTTTAAAAGATTGTGTCAGAAAGGAGAGATACTCCTTGATTTACAGCTATCCATTTAATGACTTCAAAGAAGTGATGTACAACTAGTCCTTGCACTTACAACTGTTGCAGCATTCCTATAGTCATGTGACCAAAATTTGGATGCTTGGTGACCAACATATATTTATGAGGGCTGCAGTGTCTCAAGATCACATGATCACCATTTCTGACCTTCCCAGCCAGCTTCTAATAAATCTAATAAATGTGGCTCCCCTTGGCAATATTTTCTTGTCAGGGGTGAGGTCTGCCCCCAGAATTCTGGCCTCCCGGAACAGCCTATAAACCTGGCTCTACCTGGGTCCCCAGCATGGGCCTGTATGTTGGGGAGGACTGACTGGGTAGAGAAGATATTCTCACCCACAGGCTGCCCATCATCTTGGTTTTCAATTTTTAACTTTTATTCTAATTATAATTGTTTTTAGCAATTTCCAACTTTTTATTGTATTGTAAGTCACCCAAGATATGGGGGGGGGGGGGCATGGGAAACAAAGAAACAAACAAAATGCTTGGAAATAAGCAAAGGAACCAGCCTCTCATTACTCCATTCTTGTTAATTAGTATGAATTCACTGTTTCCTTTTCAGGGATGTAAAGTGTGGCAGGTTATTCTGCGAATTTAATAATTTTCCGTGCCAATACAAATATTCAGAGGACCTAGATTATGGAATGGTTGATCATGGAACAAAATGTGAAGATGGAAAGGTTAGTAAAAGATTACCTCTAATCTGTGTGCTCTAAAGTCTGGTTCCATGGGGTGACCATTAAATTTTTTTTGTAATTGATCAATGCTGAAAGCATCTTCTGGATGGACTGTCAAGAGACAGTCCTTTCTTTTATCTTGTAGGCATCTCCATAGGGAAGGTGGAAGAGAGAAATGAGAGAATCAGGGCAGAGCTGGTTGTGACCTAACAATGAAGGCACTTAGAAATGCTGAAGCAAACCCAAAACTTACCTTAAAGGATCAGGAATCACTTCTCCTTATTTTTTATAACTGGAAAGAAGTTTGGGTTAGTTCTAAAATGACAGAGTTTAGTTGTGTAGGAAAGTTCTGTCTTATTCTATTGCTTTGACTTTCAGGTCTGCAGCAACAGGCAGTGTGTTAATGTGACTACAGCCTACTAATCAACCTCTGGCTTCCCTCAGATTTGATTTTGGAGATCCTTCTTCCAAAAGGTTCAACTTCCCTCAAGTCCAAAGAGACCCATCTGCCTGCATCCTACTAGTAAATCACCCTTAGCTTTCATATGGAATCTAAATTCTGCAATATTTCTTCTCCATATTTAATCTGTTTA